TGACGAGGCCCTTCGGGCCTAAAATATAAAATTTATTTATTTATTTATTTAATTACAGAACGTTTCTAAATACTCCATCTGAATGAATTCCAGCGCAAACGCCTACTCCTGGATCTCATCCGAAACGAACAAGGCATTTGCTCATGACGTTTTCATTCTGGAGGAACTATCGTATTAAACGTTGATAGCTTCCTTCCTCGCCAACCACAAATTCCTAAGGTGCGTACCATGTGCACACCATTTTGTAGGGTGATCAGGTTAAGTAAAGACAATTGTTTTTCTATTTGCTCTTCCTATATTCGTGTTATCTAAAGTAAACAACCCTCTTTTCATTAGAAGTGTGTTTGGCAGAGTTCCGACAAATCTGCGGTTTGGATCGTGGCCATAAGCCTTTCCTTTCCAACAATCTGCGATGACTTCAACTATTTCAGCCTCAGGCTTTTGTGTGTTGTTTTGTCGCTATCTACCCCTGCCCCATTGCGGTTGTCGCGCCACCACTGACACTTCCGGTCACTTAGGCTTACTTACTAGGTCTCCAAAAGTTCGAGCGCTTGATATTCTTTCCAAACGGTGCATATTATTTGGTAGAACCAACAAGCACTTTTAAACTAACGAAGAAATAGTGCAGCTCCATACCTTTCTGTTAGGCGTAACACATATTGTTTTAAAAACGTTTACGACGTATAGCAAAAAGTAGATCGCTCATTGGAAGCTGTTTTCATATAGTTGCAAAAGCCGACCAAATTATGCCGTTTCCAACCGCAATAGCAAGGTGAGTGTCTTTATGAGCGTATTTAATTGGCATCAGAATAGACGATTTGGCTTCTATTATAATTCTCCGTCATTATGCAACGCAAACCTTTAAATACATCAACAAACATGTTGTAGTTTTCGACAAGGGCTTCACCAGATATTACTGTACAGTTGGATTTCAGAAATTGGAGTTCGTATAGACCGATGCAGCGCACCTCGTGCAAATTTATGACCGGAGAGTGCCCTTTGAGATTAACAGATATCCTTCCCTGTTTTGTGTATTCTTTTGCACCGTTGACCATTTAAGGAAACGGCAATATTGGTATCGCAAATCTTTGTTCCGTCGTTTACCATTATTTACCTCTTCTTTATATATTTATTCATCGCAAGGTGAATGTTCGTGCTATTGGCTCGCGTTTCATCAGTTTTAATTGAACAGCGCGCTTGTTACCATGACCCAAATACTTTTGCATTCCTCTTGTTTATTCTTCCGTTTCAAGGCCCTGAAGAGCTCCGAAGAAAGGCAGTCAACTTTGAATTTTAGGAATCTGCGAGTAGTCCATACCCGATATTGGCACTTTTGTCCTCGTGTTTGTTTTTTTCTGTTCCTCCATAAATTCGCAAAGTTGGTTTTATGGTTGTATATTCAGCTATTTGACGTCTCGGATCAGCATTGATTGCTTAGGATGAATATTTTACCGAAGAAACGGTAATCTCATTTACAATCTAACCCCTCAGGTGGCATGTTAAAAACAAAGACAATGCTGCGCGCGTAGAAGCTGATGAAGCGAAAGACCGACATAAAAAACAAACAGATTCCATTCGCAGTTTGATCGCCGTACGTTTCCTATTAATTACTCTTACCCTTCTTCAGACACAAGAAGCAAGGGCGGACTATCTCCGAAAAAAATCCAAAAACTTGCCTGGAGGTGAAATTAGTTTAAGTGCAGGGCAAACACTTCGACTTTTCGCGGATGCGGAGGAGAACGTTACGACCATTTCCTCTCCGTCTAAACTGCTTACCTTTTAGCGGGATATTAATGCCACCAACGAGGAATACGAAGCAGAGAAAAAGGAGACGAAGGAAGCGTATGAGAAGAAAATAGGCTTGTTGCGTTATTTGGGTGAAACTAGTGAAGGCAAAGTTAATGAAAAGCCTTGGTGGTCGGAAGTCCCCATACATCGAAAAAAGGCGAAAAAGGTCTCAGTGCCTGTGTACGTCTGAGTTTCCATTAATTTTTCAAATTTAGTTCGGAAGAAATTGATCTAAAGAAAAAAAGTCGTTTGGATCCTCTGTATGCCATGAAAAAAGTGGAGGAGAATTTCGCTCAACGACGGGAGATGCAGTTATTAATGGAAAAGAAGGAACGTGCCGCAGCCGCAAGCTGTATTAATGCATACCCATCCTTCTTCCCGGATGACATTAAAAACCCCGACGTAAGCACGTCTGTGTTATGGACGCATGTCCAATTCGTTTTTGGCGGATTTATCACGAGACTGTAACATTCGGTTAGCGACCGGTAGGCATGTTCTTCCCTAACTGTTCGATGGTTGGCTGCCAAAATCTTGCGTTCGTACCTGCGTTTTATCTTTACTTTATGCATCTTCGTGTGATCTTAATGCAAGATCGTGGAAGAAGTGGTCTTACGACTATCAGGCGCGTACTTGTGCTGCTTTCTGTCAAAATGCTCTAGACAGAAAATGCACACTTGAATCGAGTTTTCAAAACCTTAATGTTTGGAAAGGATTTCTAGAATCTTTTGCCGTGATAGTTATTTGGTCGATGTCATCAGTATTCGATTTTGTAATCTTATAACTGCTCCAATTCGACCCAACTAAGGATCTTATTGCTTAATGCACAACTATGTGTAACTGATGAATGCTTTCTTATATAAAAAAGGTTAAACGGACCAGTATGCCACGTTTTGACAAAGCTTCATCGAATACCAATGATATGCCCCTGGCGTCTTCTCAATCCGGTATGCGGAACCAGAATTCTACAGTTCCAGCTACCCCTTGCACCTCCAATAACAAGGCCAGCTTGTTAGAGAAAATGCGGGCAGAACGCCTTGCCAGAGAACGTGCCGAACGTGA